CATGCAGTCACTCACAAACTGAGCCTTTGCAAAGGCCTTTGGAATAGATTGAAGCTTTTAAGAAAGCTTTGAACTCACATCAGAAATCTACTTAGAGATCAATGACCGGCGCAGCGTTGTCCGGGGCTCCTGCATTGTCAGCCTCCACTGCGTTGTCCGGGACCACCACCACTGCGTTGTCCGGCGCGCCTGAAGTGTCAGCTGCTGCTGCTGCTGCTGCTGCGTTGTCCGGCGCACCTGACTGATTCTGCGACATTTGATTCCCACCATTGTTCAACAGGTTGCCCGCCATCACGGCCAGTTGCCTCATGTCACAACGAAATGGGCACCAACCAGGCTGATGATTTCCGATCCGCCAAGTGTTCTCCAGACAAAGTGTGTGGAACGTGTGGCCACACTGCAAAGCCAATGGGGAATACTGTGGATTCTCAGCCCCCATCAGTGCCTGCCTGCAAATGGCACAAATCAGCTGTTCACTGTCCGGCGGAACATTCACATTCACAGCCTCAGCCGGCTCCACAGCCGCAGCTGCCTCCACATTTGCATCACCCTCCACAGCTGCAGCAGGCTCCACTCCCACCAATTGCTCCTGTCCAATCTCCTGGAAACAAAGTACTCAATGTAGTGACAGTCTTATATTATTAGTCCGCAACAAAGGAACCAACAAACAATCCCCTAGTTGAACACTCACTACTCACTCTTCTGAGTCTCAGACAATGTCAAAATCAAACATTTGTGCATTCTCTATATTTTAATTTGGCTCCTGGTCATTGACACGCAGTGGTGGAGCAAGCACTGGACGCATCATAGGCACAGACTTGGGAGCAGCTGCTGCAGCCACATTCGGAGGTGCCATGACATTGGGCCTGATAGCAGCACTCATCTTGACAAGAGGAATTGTCTGACCAGGGTGAGCTTCCATGTCCGGCGTATTCACTTGAAGAGGCGGTGGGCGGACCTGTGCCACTGGCATTGGAGGTCGCAACATATCAGGCAAAGAGCGGTTGGTTGCAATTTTCCGAGCACGATCAGCAGCAACAGCTTTGGCCCCACGCCCACGACCCTTGGGAATAACTTCCACCATCCATTGCTCATCAAATCCCTGCGCTAGGGCTGCTGCATTGACAAAGCTTTTTGTAAGCGTTGCCTCACTCTTAAGAGATGCCAAACATGTCTGAATGTCCGACGAGGAAGCCACAAGTTCCTTGTGCCTCTTGCGGAACCTGGCATTCATCTCAGAGTATCCTTTCACCCTCAATTGAGAGATTGATACTGTGGGCTTTTGCCTAGTCAATAGCCAAATGAGCCGAACCAAGGATGAGTGGTCCAGATCTGATGTCACAGTCGGGTCTAGACTTCCATCGATGGCCTCAACCGCCTCCGACAACTTCTTCTGCAGGGTCCAAATGGTCGCACACACATATATATATATATAATACATATGGAATCCTCAAACGAACATCAAACTAAGTCTCTGAATATAGTTGTTCAAATATGAGGTTTTGGATTGAACACACAAAGTCAAAGGAACAATGGGCTTGTCAGTCCTTTGGAAGAGCTCGAATCACCGCTGCTGAGCTTGTAATCCTGTCCGACGCTGTGCCAGGTTTGAAAAGCGAAGCCCGGCTTTCAGCCAATCCCCTGAGAGCTGCAGCAGCCATATCGTCCTCATCATCTACAGCATCATGTCCGGCGGACTGTCCGGCGGAAGCAGCTTGAGAAGCTTTTGGCTGAGCATCCTCCTGATCTTCATCCCAATCATTGCCATACCCTGCAGCCATAGCAGCGGCATTGGGATTCATGCCTGGCATACCCATCATGCCAAAGGGCGTCATACCAGGCATAGTCCCCATCATTCCTGCCATCATTGGATTCATCATGCCCATGGGGTTCATCATCATTGGCATTTGCGGTGGCACCATGCCTCGTGCCTTTTTGTTCGCCATGCCATTTCCCACTCCCATGTTCATCGCAGCAAAGGTGATCGAAGATCTAATCTAAGACAAACTTCCTCACTTCACAAAAAGCCAAAACCTTTTCAGCCACCAGTATATGACAGACAATACAATACCTTCACAAACTGTCCGTCGAACTGCTCTATGGATAGCAAAGATATTTGTTCAAAAGCACAAAGAGATGCGTACACCAAACATGCCTGAAGAAACTCAGAATCACAGCAATGATGAAGTGTCAGCTTTATGTTTCTGATTGATCGGTGGAAACTCATGCCCATCCAAAGATTCCAAAGCCCCTTGAAAGATGGAAGCTGTCCGGCGCTACATGATATTGCACAAAGAATACACAGATTGTATTGCAAGCTTTCAACTCAAGAATGATACTGAGCCTTTGGCACAATGCACAGAATGCATTGCACCAGACTTCAAAGAGCCTGGACTGTGAACAAAACGCAAGAACTACAAAAGAAACAAACATCAGCTGGCCAAACATGTCCGGCGTCAAACATGTATCCATCTATGTTGCATGTTTGATTCTGAAAACATATGTGCAAAGCAAGAGCTCGGTCTCCAACTCAAACCTTTGTGACTTGGAAGAAGGGAAAGACTCTGCACTATCACAACCAAATGCACACCAGAGCCCAAAGCAAACTGCCAGAGTTAGACAACACATCTTTTGCACACGTTGTGATTTGTTTTTCACAAGTCTTAGCATGTCCATAGTTACTGAGTCCACAGTCCGGCGACAAATTGTCCGACGCGCCTGCATTACTTAGATGATCCCAAAGCCCCTTGAAAAATGGAAGCTGTCCGGCGCTATATGATATTGCACAAAAATACACAGACTGTGATGCAAGCTTTCAACTCAAGAATGATACTGAGCCTTTGCCACAATGCACAGAATGCGTTGCACCAGACTTCAAAGAGCCTGGACTGTGAACAAAATGCAAGAACTACAAAAGAAACAAACGTCAGCTGGCCAAACATGTCCGGCGTCAAACATGTATCCATCTATGTTGCATGTTTGATTCTGAAAACAAATCTATGCACAATACTTGTTTGGGTTTGAGTTTCCACCATCAGTATGCTGAGTGATGTGCAAAGCAAGAGCTCGGTCTCCAACTCAAACCTTTGTGAATTGCACGAAGGCAAGTCCCACTGACAGATCAGCTTGAAAGAAGCAATACTTTGGTAAAGCTACAACGTCACAAACTCCGACAAGTCTCTCTCTGAGGTTCCACATTGAACGAGTAGAGAGATGAGCCTGGTCCATCCTGGCGGTCCAGATTCATGTATGTATGCATTAAACCATATCTTCAATAAAACCTGGCCCATCAATGCCACTTGAACACAGCACGCAACTTTTTAAGATCTACTTTCAATAGTTATATAGCAGCACACTCTCACCAATCTATTTCAGATTGGAAGGAGGTCTGTCTACATTACATAGTTAATTACCACCACAGTCCAAACTGTCCGGCGAGAATGCAATTGACAAGACTGCAATGTCCGGCGAGACTGCGACTAAAAGGGCAAACTCACTCTTCATTCGATTCATCCTGTATCTGACAGAGAAGTTCTCGAAGCAGATGTCTAGCCCTGAAACACTCACGTTCCCAAGGACGCTTGGTCATCATCAATTTGGACTCTGTTCCCATGTCTTCTAGAAACTCCGGCGCTTGTATCCCTGCATCTCGATACTGCTTCTTAATGGTGATCACGATGTGCAACCGTTTGGTCAAGCGACTCTCCAAACATAGATGCTCAGGTTCTGGCCCAGTGCTGTCCGACGAACAATCTCCAGTCTCATCGGGAAAGAGACTTTCAGCAATCTTCAGAGGCACACGAAGCGAGGACCCAAGAGAGTTTCTGCAAAGCAATGTTCTAGGAGAAGGCACATCATGAGTAGCACGTGACATGGCTTGAACTCTGAATCCTAGGAACAACAATAGTAAGAATGATCACAGCTTTGAGCCCTACAATCTGCAATGGATGACACAAAATACACAGAAACAATCCCACTCTTGAATCACAAGTGAATGTCTTGGAATATATATATATATATATAGAAGCTAATAGAAGAGAAATTGTCCGGCGCTCCTGGAAACTCACGATGCTCTCCATAAATGCACCTGGCAAGCACAAGCCAGGAACAAATGAAGCATTGAAAGTAACGCAAACAACAAATTCAATTTGACCGCAACAAATGAAGCCATGAACAAGTACACAACTCAAAGCAAAGCTGAGACAACCAAGTTGTTGTTTTTTCTATTTTGCTTGCGCCTGTTGTAGGCGTTTCAAGGATTCCCA